TGACGTCCTCTAACATACAGGCCACCGGGGCCACAGGGCCTCTGCATCACACCGTCCTTCACACACTTCAGTTCGCTCAGATGGAACCTCTTCTCAAGGTCTCTCATCCAAAATGCTGCCCTTTCCGGCCTGGTTGTGGTTTTCTCACTAGCCCTCTTCACCACCCAGTGTATCACATCAGTTTTCTTCATGGCTTTGGTGGCTAAACAATGCCATCTCCATCCTACATGCCCTCTGTCCATCTTTAGGGTCAGCTTCGTGGGTAGGTGACCTGTGCAGTTACTGAGAATACTTCGATTTCAGATACGGGTCCTACATTAGCATCTTACACGAGGCCCTGAAAACTACCTACGGCTGGTCTGCTACAGTCCCCTTCTATGAACTGATGTCACCGTTCCATGGCAACCCCTCCAGAGCCATGCTCCAGACACTTTGCCTCGTTCTTCTCAAGTGTAATACAGTCAGGTCTCAGGGTCTCCAAAGTTTCTAAATTCCTGTTCTCCCTCCACCTTGGGCTTCCAGGCAGCTACAGAGTCAGGTTTAGGGAGGGGAAGCCCCAGGCAAGCTGCTCTGAGGTCAGACAAGCAGAAGCCAATGTTTTAGAGGGGTATAGAGGTCAAGACTCAGAAAAAGACACACGGGAGGAGGGAGGGCTCCATCAAGAATGGGACCGTCACCGGGTGGGTGGCACACGCCTTTAATCCCAGCACTCGGAAGGCAGAGCCAGGCAAACATCTGTGAGCTCCAGGCCAGCCTGGTCTACAGATCGAGATCCAGGACAGGCACCAAAACTACACAGAGAACCCTGTCTCGAAAAACAAAAACAAACAAAAAGTCAACACCAATAAATAAATAAATAAATAAATAAATAAATAAATAAATAAATGCTTGTTTTTTAAAACAACAATAACAACAGGCAGTGATGGTGTACGCTTTTTTTTTTTTTTTTTTTTTTTTTTTTTTTTTTTTTTTTAAAAAAAGGGCTTTTTTTTTTTTTTTTTTTTTTTTTTTTTTTTTTTTTTTACACAACAGGGTTTCTCTGTGTAGTTTTGGTGCCTGTCCTAGATCTCGCTCTGTAAACCAGGCTGGCCTCGAACTCACAGAGATCCCCCTGGCTCTGCCTCCCAAGTGCTGGGATTAAAGGCATACGCCACCACCACCCGGCACTGTGATGCACGCTTTTAATCCCAGCACTTAGGAAGCAGAAGTAGATAGGTGAATTCAAGGCCAGCCTGGCCTATGTAGCCTGCTAGCCAGCTAGGATTTCACAGTGAGAGTGTTTCAAAAGAAAATTAGTTAATTTTTTTTTAAGAAAGGAACTGCTCCCCATGTGGGGAGGGTCACCTTTCCAAGGACACAAATCCACAGTCCCTAGGGAGGGGAGTAGTGTAAACTGCTTGGAGGGCAGTTTGAGGTCTCAGGGCATCCCCAGTGCCTGCAGAAGGTACTAAAGAAGGTGTAGGGCTGGGGTGGCCATCCCACAGCAGGACAGACTCTGAGACTGAATCAGGAGAAAGAGATAGCTGGTTGGTGGCCTGGTGACTGAGGAGGGCGAGGGGTGGCCGAGATGAAGGCCTCAGGAGAAGCCCTTTCACTTGGTTGGTTTGGGTTATCGAGACAGGGTTTCTCTGTGTAGCCCTGGCTGTCCTGAAACTCACTCTGTAGCCCAGGCTGGCCTCGAACTCACAGAGATCTACCTGCCTCTGCCCCCCAGTGTTGGGATTAAAGAGGTGTGTGCCACCACAGTCCGGCCCTTTCACTTTTTAATAGTTGTCTGCATCAATACAGTACACTGGCATGGGATGCAGCTTCCTAAGAGAGCTTACTCAGCATTCATGAAGCCCTGGATTCTGTCTCCAGTACTACACACACACACACACACACACATAAATAGTGCACAAACCTTGCCCCTGTTTCTTGTGACCCCAGAACTCAAACTGCTCTCCAGAGACCAGCCTGAGGCCAGATACAAACTCCAGGCTGGCAGGATTTTTTTTTTTTTTTTTAAAACACAGATCTCACTATGCTGTCCTGGCTAGCCTGGAACTCACTATGTAGACCAGGGTGGCCTAGAACTCACAGAGATCCTAAATTGGTCTCCAAAGTACTGGGATTAAAGGTGTGCATGCCACACACCCTGCCGGAAGGGAATTCTTAGTGGGCCAAGATAAAAGAGAGATAGGTTCTGGGGATTCCTACAGGGTGTCCTCAGCCTGCCTTGGGGAGGGAGGCTAGGCCACAAAACTAGACAGGAGCCCCTTACCAGCAGCAGCAGGGCAGCCCCTACCAACAGCTTTCCTCCGAAGTTGTCTCTTCTTCCCTCGAGGATAACTGCTAAGCCTACATGTACAGGCTCTCTTGGAGGTGAGGTGGGGGCTCACAGAGCCATGGGCTGGAGGGAAGAGCTGGGCACCCAAAAAGACTCAAGAACAAGATTGTGGGAAAACCTCTAGGCTGGGCTGGGGAACACACTCTTTTTTGTTTTGTTTTTGTTTTTTTGAGACAGCATCTCTAGAACTCACTATGTAGACCAGGCTGGCCTTGAACTCACAGAGATCTGTGTGTCTCTGCCTCCCAATCATCACTAGGACTAAAGGCGTGCACCACTACGCCTGGCTGGTATGTGTGGGGGAACACACTCTCGAGGATACTTATGGACACCCCCCACCCCATGGCCCAAACTCCAGCTGTACTTTGCTAAATCAAAATACATCTTACTCCAAAGCAGGCCAGTGTTGCCATGACAACCGAGCTAATTCATGGAGGGATTTCTCTGTCTGATTTATTGCACCGCCCCTCTGACTCAGAGAGTGCAGACATAAGGGCCAAGACAGGTGCCTCTGCTGTCTCCGAGACCACACCAGTCAGAGGCAGAGGTAGAGACCCAGGTACTTCTTACCTCCCCACATCAGCCAAACGGAAGGAAGAGGAGCCCCACACTTGTGGTTCCCACTGACTGGCAGCAGCAAAAAGCCAGCACCATTGCATTTACTGAACTAAGTGTCTCCTCCTCATCAGTGCCTTCTTACTGTTTCCAGGATGCTGTGGGGTGGCAGGGACCACAGATGCTCCATCCTCCAGATAAGGCCATTAAGGCCTAGAGAGTCAGTGCGACCAAGGACACAAGGCCGCTAGGTGGAAAGCTGTGCCTTTACCTTCTTCCATCTGCCTCTCCCTAGAATCTGCTCCTCCACTCAGCCTTGAGGCCCTAACGCCAGCCCTGGTGAGTGGAGCTTCCCAGCCAGCCTGTGTGGCCTGGAGGCGCCAGTGTCCTTCTCACCAACAGTAAAGTAGACAGGAGCCATTCCAGACAGTCCCCTGTCTCAGCAGCCCCCTGGAGAAATGGGACTCCCCTTCCCCCCGGCTTATATGCAGTCCCTGGTGGTGGGTAGCGAGGGAAGGCACACCGGTCCCATGTGTTGACCTGCAGAGCCCAGCTCACGCCCGCACAGGTGCCTGACACACTCATACGTGCGCATCTGCACACTCGGCCAGCCCGCACACCCATCCGTCCATCTCCAGAGGCCCCTAGGGAGGCTCCAGGATGAGCAGAGTTAAGAGCTAGACTCGAAGCTCCAAGCTCCCAATCCTTCTCCGGACCCCTAGGGCACAAGCCAGGGATGGTGTGGGAGCTCCTTTACGGATCCTTGGCCCCCTTCCCAGCAGAGAAGACAGGCATGACCAAGGTCTGCAGAAACCTACAGTCCTTATCCCCCAGGCTCTTCCTGCATGAAGCCCAACCTGCCCCAGGGCTGGGCGACCTTGGGCCTCTGCCTCACTCCCTCATCAGTCAATGGCCCCCACTGGCCATGCCTGGGCAGCCACACCCCCAGCGTGGTCCTCCCCCCACCCCTTTCCCTGCAAAGCCTGTTATTAAACATAGGGTGGGGAGGAGAGGTCTGAGAGATTGTTAGCCTCTGGGTCGCCCCTCACTGGAAGGGCCCCTCCCTCTCTCCACAGTGTGTCTGGGGGTGGGGGGAATCCGCCTCGCCCTTAAAAGCCCAAGTAGAAATCATCAGCCCGCAGCCTGGGAAGGGAGGGGATCCGAGGGAGGATGTGATCGCCAACGGCCTCAGGGGACCGTGGGTGCCGCAGGTGCCCGCAGGGGGCTGGGCGGACGGTCCGGCGCTCGTTGCCGCCCCTCCTCCAGAGCTGGGGCGAGAAAGGGGGGGCGCGGACCAAGGGTCTGGGCGCTCCTGGCCCCGCCCCACCCCCGGAGACCCACAGCATCCCTTCCCCGCCCTGCACCCAGGCGGTGGGGGCCCCGCCCGCGCCCCGCGCGCCCCCCGCACTCACTGGCCTTCCCCGGCCGCGGCCTCTGCAGCAGCCTCTGCGCGGTCCCCACGTCCTCCGCCTTCACCGCCTGCACCAGCTCCTGCTCCTTCCCCATGGCGCCGCGGGGCCCGCAGCGACGCGGCGCTCGGTGCTCTCGGCGGCTCAGACGCAGCGGCGGCCCCGCGTCTGCGATCGCATCCTTTCCAGCCCGCGCTGCCTGCGCCGCCCGCCGCCCAGGGCTCTCCGCGGGTTCGGGTTCGGGTTCGGGCTCGGGCTCGGGCTG